TTTATGGAATTCCCCGCTCTGAGCATCCTCATACCCTTTTATGGAATTCCCTGCTCTGAGGGGAGAACTGAGCATCCTTTTATGGAACTCCCCGCTCTGAGGGGAGGATTGACCATTCCTGCCTGAATTGGCGATATATAAACCTGGAGTTTCAGAACTTTTCTACCACTCGTGGGATCCAGAGGAAGACTGCAGCTCATCGCTCTCAACCAGACTGAGACCACCACCCTCAACTGGACTGCAATCACCACTTTTGACCAGACTGCAACAGCTCTCCCACCAGCAGGTTTTTCCCCTCTCCCTTTACTTTGGACTGAAGGGGGGGCCCAAGGAACACCACTTTGTTCATGCCCCAGGGTGCTGGGTTATACATTTGGGTTTTGTGGGTTAAGACCAATTGTTTGTTTGTATGATTGTACTTACTGTATTAACTTAATAAATTGTTATTCTGACTTATAATCTCTCCTTTGAGTTGAGTTCATTTCCCCTGCTGGTTAACTCTTAAACCAGCACAACATATTAGACAGAGAGTCAACTTTGTTGCTGGAGAAAATAGTGAAAGCTACTTTTGCTATATGAAGACTTTAAGAGCATTTTAATTTTTATCATATTTTCTAAAGAAGATAAAAAAATCATAGTAGCTATGTCTTAGTTATTAAGAATTTCTTAACCTCTGCATTCCTAGTGGTAACACTGTAGTAAGTGAAGATAATTTGGGTTGTAGGGACATCAGACATAGAAAATTTGTGATAAATCCCCATTATATTTTAGTATGTTATAAAAATCTAAATATTAAAAAGACATATTTAAACTTTACATTCTAACGACATTTCTACATTAAAAAAATATAACAGGCGTCAGAAAAGTGACAAGGAAAAAAGTGAGTACATACTAAAAGATTCACATTTACTCGCACTTAACACAGACATTGCTTGTTAGTTTTGCAAACTCAACAAAACTGTGTAAGAGTGAGGTGATTTCCTCTATGTGGCTTGTATATCATCAGTAAAATCAACTAACATTTACAAAATCCTTCTTGGGGATATATAGCACATAAAGAATAGATCATGGCTTCAGAGTGAGTTTTCCAGAAGGATCTTAGCATAGGAATTTATCAATATTTCTATATTTATAGAACAGAACATAAAGACATTTAGAATTACATCTGTCAGGTCTGGAAGGATGATAATACTTGGATCTCTAGTTGTTATTACAATGGAATAATAAAGTCCTATAAGAAAATTAAATATATTGCTATGTCTTACATAAACACTTTCAAAGTAAAACTTTATTTTCAAATTAATTTTTTCCGGAATATAGTTTCACTTTTTCTTTACAAATAAGAAGGTTTCTCACAAACTCCTAGTCCACAAACCTTGTTAAGATATTTCATAATTTATCTACATCTACCTGGGATTGATTGAAATAACACATCTTCCCCTTAATTCTTACTAACAAGCTGATATTGGGACACTGTTCAGAGCACTCCAATGCTTAAAATTTTGCTATATTAACAAGAATACTAATCCATAGCAATTAAAAAAAAGAATCTTCCTATAAACACACTCTAAACATAAACCAAATTATTCTAGTGCTTACTTCTGAAAGACTTTAAAAAAAGCAAACACAAAACCAAACCAACCAACCAACCAGAAAATTACTAAAACAGTAAAAATAAAAATCTAGAAAGTGGGGAGCATTCTGTTTTCAAGTGTTTGGTCAATTACCTAACCTGTGTTAAAACAGAAGTTTTCTACAAAAGATTGCATTCACCTGGATGTCTAGATTTTGGGGAAAACATTGGAATACAAATTTTTCAGTTAGCTCTTCCCAAAGCTATTCAACAGTCAGTCTAACCTTTTCCCTGCTGAGGATGCAATGGATCTGAACCAAAACAACTCATGCAATTCTGCTGCTGGATAGCACCAATCCCCATCAAAATGCATATGTATAGACATAATTCCTACTGTGCCCTACAGATTTTTGCAGTGCTAAAATAAATCAGGTAAAGGGAAAAACTAAATCTCACTGATTCTGCAGCTACCTAGCAATATCAGAAATTTTCTAGTCTACATTAACCCCTACAAGAACAGCTGAGAAATGTGCATATCCCCACACCAAGCAGACAGAGATTTTGAATGCTTGTTTTATCTCCACTACATGGTAAACATTATCTATATGCAAAAACCTTACATAGAAAGCCTGATAATAGTACTCCAATGAATTCTACGAAAGATTTAAATAAAGAATTTCCTGATTATGTTCAGCATACAGTCTGCATGCATTGTGCTTTATAACTATTTCAAATATTTTCTTTAAAGTCTTAAATTGTTTCCCTTCATTTAAAGTTAAGTCATGCAAGCCTTTACTTATTGCTTTGAACGTGACTGAAAAGCAACATTATTTTGAATAATGACAAGTACTTCAACAGAACTGGTACTGCGTAATTTTAGAGATCTTTTGACTGTGCCACAGAATTACTGCTTCTTTTGCTCTATTTACTTTTCCTGTAACTAAAAATATATTCTACTAGTCTAGTAATTTAATTTTAAACTGCCCAGTCTCTGTTTTTCTAACTTTTATACTTAACTTAGGATGTAAACTATCTGATTGTTATAGTTCCCCAGACCTTATATTTTGTAGATACATTCTGAGTTCTTATAATTTCAGAGTTAAAAAACTGGTGCAGAGAAGATCACATACAAAAGATCATCCAAGGAAGGCAATGCATCTTTTTTGCTTCTTTTCCTCTTGAAATTTTAAAACACATATAAATGCTGGAATTGAAAACATTAATATATGTGTCTGTGTATCTGATGACAGAAATGTACCTTTAGCAGAAATTAAACTCTTAAGAAAAGGTGGGGGAGGACAGGACTAAAAGGGCCTGCAGAAGCTCCTATAAGCACATCCAATAACTGTTTTGAAAAGCAAAACAAAAAATCAAGGAAAACTTGCTCCCTACATTACAAAAGCGGTTTGCACTTATTTTACCATATAGGCACACAAAGCTGATTTTCCAGTTGTCACAAGTGAGTACTATAACACTCCTTTTTGTGGGGAGGGGGTAACAAGCAATTACTAACAACACTGAGAATCTCCAAAAGAGAGAGAACTGGGGAAAACAAGTATGTTCAATTGTGCCAAATGAATTGCTGAGTGATGGTATCTGACCTGAGGGGAGATAAACAACTGGAAAGTAAGAGCACAAAATGTAGAGAGAAATAAGTCAATGGATGTGGTTAGAACTTCTTAAAATGCTCATAAACCAATCAGTCTCCATTAGTAAACCAATCTAGCATTTAAACTAATAGATGGAAGTTATTCTTTCCAAAAAGGAGGATTTTGTTACAGTGACAAAATCTCTCTACAACTGTATACAATTTATTGCAGGAAGTTGACATTGTTGAAAGTATTCCATATAACTGACGTACAGATTCATCCTAGATATACTTTCTTAAGTGACAATCACTCTAGAAAAAACTAAGATTTCATCCATGGATTGCCTCAACTGAGCAAAACAGTTTTAGAGAGAGATTTTCAGAGAAAAGGGAAAGGAGAGAGTAAAGCAGCAAGTTCAATTACATATGGCAAGGGATCTATACTAACCTACTGTAAAAGAAGACAAGAGTGAAGAGAAAAAATATTCAAAGGCACATCCAGTGATACCTCCTTTATTCATTTACTTATTTTAAGCAGAAACTGATTATTATTAGAGCAAGTTTTATAGTAGCTTCACTAATAATTTGATCAAGGAGTATTCATAAATTATTGTATATTTTGTAACTGCAGTCATTTCATAGCAAAAGTTCAAACATAACTTTCATTTTCTGGCTTCTAAATGAAGGTTTATAATGAAACTGCATATAAACTGACTGTTTAGTTACTCGTTAATGTGTCTGAACTCAGAATTGCTACTGTGACATCCTGTACCACTGCCTGTTCTAACTGTGCACTGCTTTTCAGTCAAGTAAACAACTGTTCTTTCAAGTGACAAAAACGCATGTCTGCTCTAAAGGAGACATTTCGCTGTATCATTACAGAAAAATGTGAAATCTGTGATATTAAAAGACTAATGGTATAAAAATATCAACACTTCATCACAGAAAAATGTACATATGATTGAAAAAAAAAAATTGCTCTTTATATACATTAACAGAGAATCATCCCTTGCAGACCTGAGACATCCCACATTTCAGAAGATTCTATGCAAACCCTCTACTCAAGAGTGAACAAAAGACTACTCCCACTAGCTGGGCTAAACGAAAATGACCCAAGCTGTTTTTAATGAAGATTCTCCAAAAAGCCCAGACAATCAGTAAGTGAGCCCTTCTGCAAGAATAAACATCAAATAAAAATGAAGATTTTAAACTGGTAATTTTTGTTGGTGTTTTCTACAGATGGTCCATGAGAAACTTTCTACTTCATCTCCCTCCAGCGAGATCATCTTTAACTACAGAAATCAATGTGATGTTAAAAATAAGCATGGCGAGGCTATGCTGTATGATGAGCTGAGGAAAAAGATAGAGACAGTGTAGGGTTTCTCACATGGAAAATTATAAAATACTGATGAAACACAATAAAGTTGTTTTACATTTACTTTAATAGATTTAATTCACTCGCATGTCCCTTTTTCTTTACTTTATGTACATCCACTTGGGCTTATTTTAGTAAGACATTTGAATTCTGTCAAGGACTCTGGTGCATGGGTTTGAGTCTTGTCATTTTAACAGTGCTTCTTCATTCCCGTGCGATTTCTAACATACAAAATGCCATCTCCTCTAATCATCTCTACACTCTTAGAGGCACTCTGCACTTAATGACAGAGGTGTTGAAAAGCAAACTACTACAGATCTGATCCCAAGTGTATCTCATAGCAGAATCTCAGCAAGTTTCACGACTGTTAGTTGGGTTTTTTGTGTATAAATTGAAATATATGTAACGGTATAGTTATTTCTTTCTTTTCTGTATATTATCCTTAGGGACTGTGACGGTTGCATATATTCCAGTTTTGACAGTACAGAAGTCCGGTCGTGTTTGGGCCAGTAGAAGATAAGCCGCAAATGTTTGCATTGGATTTTTACCCATGACCCCTGCCTGGCACCCACCCACGTAAGCCTTGCGAAGCGCCGGTGTGCCGCGTGTGCCCTGTGCCCTGCGGGCAATGGGCACGTAGCGGCACCGCCCGCGGTGACACCCACCGGTGGGTCGCGCTGCGGCTCTGCGGCGGCGGCCGCGGCTCCCGGAGCTCCCGCACGGCCCTTCCCTGGACAAGGCTACTCAATAGAAAGCAAGCCTGTCTGAAACCGAGAATGAAGCACAAAGCAGAAGGTCTCAGACCTACCTCTCCCCACCACAGCAGTGAGTCAGCCGGACTGCCCGATGATAAGGGGCAGCCAAAGCGGAAAGCGGGCGCACTACAGGGCACGACCCCCCTCCCTCCCCTGCTGCTGAGCCAAAGAGAAGCTCCCCCGGAGCGCCGCCACGACCCCCCCGCACTGAGGGGCCGCCTCAAGGCGCAGCCCCCGCGCTCGCGGTCCTCCCGGGCCTCGCGCACCAGCCGCTGCCCGGCCCACCAGCGCCCCCGCGGCCGCCGACGGCTCTGCGCATGCGGCCGCAACGCCCTCTCGCCCCTCCGTCGGCGGCGCCTGCGCAGTTAGCCTGCCGGCCTGGGCGCGGGGCCGGGCAGTGCCTGGGTGCCACTGCTGGCGTGTCGCGGTGCCTCCCTTGCTCCCTTCCCTCCCCTCAGCGCCGGCCCCTTCCTCCTTCCGCAGGGCCCTACGGGTGGTTTGAAATTCACCGCAGTCTCTCACCCGAGTTCTCGGTGTGGCTGTAAGCGCCAGGCTCTGAAGGGGAGGAGGCAAGAGCGCGGGGCGGGGAAGAGGGGGGCGGCCTGGAGCGGTGCGGCTTGTCTGTGCCAACAGCTCCGGTTCCTGCAGCCCCTCAAGGGGAAGGGGCGGGAGGGGTGGTGGAGAGGGTGAAGCGAGGTAGCAGCTGGAAGGTCCGTGTCTGGCGGGCACCGTGGTCCGGTCTCTGGGCGTGGGGAGTGTGGGAAGGAAGGAGCCTGAGCCGATTCCGGGACCCACGAGCCCCTCGCACCCGTGGAAGCGGTAGAGGGCAGAGTGAAAAATTCCCCCTCCGTACTGAGGCGTCCCGGTGCTGCGGCAGGCTGGCCCGCAGGTAAGGCTTTGTGGGGCCCAGGCAAGGAGCGGGCGAGGGCTAGGGGCAGGAAGGGTGTCCCAGACACAGAAACCCGAGAGGCGAAGCGGTGTGGGAACCCAGTTCTTCGGGTTTAGAGGAGCGGCTCAGCCGGAACTGCCTGGTCAGACCGGTGAGCTGAAAGGGAAGCGATGGCTTGGGGCGGTGGTGTGCGCCCCTTCCGTGTGGCCGCGACCAGACCTGTTGCGGGCGGGCCGGAGGAAGCCGGGCCCGGTCCGAGCCCTTCCGGGGGGAGCGATCCTTCCTCCTGGCCCACGGGGAGATGCCTTGCGGTCCTCGGGGCTGAGTGGAAACGGCAGAATGAGGCAGAGAGGGAGAACGAAAGATGTGCTGAAATCCCTACTGTGTTTATTTCGGTGCCTTTCTCTCTCGCAGTTCCTCTGAGCGCGTTACCACCGCTTCGCTGTTCCCAGAGCAGTAGGGCGTGCCCCCGCTGCGGCGGGCTGCGGTAGAAGTCAGTCAGGCTTGCTAATGCTTAGGCATTTGGGATTTATTTGTTTCGGAGCAGGTTTCTTTATTCTTAGTATACCTTGTTGCTATAATTGTAAAGAGTCTGTTGATGATGATAAGAGAGATGGGCACATTCGTGACTTTGGAAGGAGCCAGAAAACAGCTCTGAACTGTGTTCTGCTCCATGTGTTTTAAGTGATTACCAGCTTGAATCCTAGCGTGACGCTTTGAAGGACAGTGTTATGTATTTCACTGATAATAAAAACATTTTGTAGATGAAGCGATACTGCATTGAATTTGTATGATCTACTCGGTCACTCACTCATTTTAGAGAGACGTACATTTTTGGCTTGAAATGAGGAAGATCTAGGATCATTTTTATCCCTTTAAAGTATCGATGTTAGCATATAATATCTATGGAGATGTGGGGGGAGAGCTTATTACAAATTTCCTGTACGATTAAATCAGTGCTTGTTCGTTCTTTAAACATTCGTTGTGTCTTGATTGTAAAGCGAGGTAATTAAATATATTGGGGCCCAGAAACAGTTATCTTCTTAATATACATCTGCTTCCTTGGTTAATATAATTGCTTAGTGATAATGTAAGAATAGTTGAAAGGTGCTTTAGCAGTACGAAATTGTTTGACGTACATGACATGCTTTACTGTTGTTTCCTGTTACTTGGGTTTGGAGATGTTTACCTTGCTGTGAAGTCAGTTTTACCTGAACTGAATTCTTGGCTGTAACTGAGAACTTGTGAATAGAAGACAGTTGTGTGCAATGTCTCAGGTGTAAGTTTGTTGCCCTAAACATCGGTACTTCTTGTGAACTGACACCAAAGGATTTGGGGTTTGTTGTGGTTTTTTTTTTCCCCAGGGTCTCATTGTCTCAGAACATGGCATAGTACTTTAACACATGTGAACTTTTAGAAAGTGCTGTTTATATTTGACTCCATGTAGTGGGGATCTGTAGAGCATATTAAGGCCTAGACTTTCACGCAGTGCACAAGCTGTCAGTGCATATATACAAAAAACCTAGATCGGTATCATATATAATTGAATACCTCTGGTATATAACGTCAGCAGAGGATTAGAAACAAATAACGGATTTGATACTATGTTGCTGTTTGTGTTTATAAGATCCTAATGTGTAGGTGTGTGGTGGTAGTCATGAGTACAGTCCAGTAGCGTTACAGAAAATTATTAGAACTGCTTTCTGAGAAAGTAATCCAATTTTATTATTGTAGTATCTGGAAACTAGGTAACATGTAAATGTAGGTAATGGACATTCTGTGATTATTACACGTCCTTCAAAAATTTTATGTAAATAAATAGAGTTTATGTAAATAGGGCTTGTCTGCTTGTGAAGATGATAAAGTTCACATTTTCTTGAGTTAGGCTAGCAGAGTTAGACCTGCTTCTACAGAAGAGGTGAAGGGGTGCCTATCAAAGGGCCAAGTGAGAACAAGTGTTTCTAAGCCTACCAGTCTGCCACCACAGCAGAAATGATGTCAACTGATAAGAGTTTTCTCCAACTGCTGTTTCATCTAAGGGGTACCCAGGACAATCTCTTCCTCTTGCTTCGGTAGCTTTTCTTTGTTGTACTGTAACTGTATCACTAGTAGAAAAGAGTGTAGGAGTGTATTAAATTGGTAATGGAAAAATATTTTAAATAGTTGCAGCTTGTTACAGAATTTGGGTTGTTACCATGGAGCTTTCTATTTGTTTCATTGAAAAATATGGAGCCTCAATATAGTAGCAGTGTTTTGTTTTGGTTTTTAATGAGCAACAATTCATTCTTTTGCAAAATGACAGAAAAGATACTCATTTTGAAAAAGTTGACAGTGTAAAAATGATGGTGGTTTCATTTTAGAATAAACACTTCTGGAAGAATCTTGTGGTTTATTTTTTATTATGCATTTTCATAATTTTTTGTGGTGCTGATTATAGTATTGTCATTTCCTTATGTTTTAAAATTGCATTTGAATTCTTAGTTTGTTCTTGTATCTTCAGCATGCATGGTAGCACTGATTCTAGAAAAGTCCAGCTGTGTTACACTGCTTCTCTGAAGCCTACATATGATTTACATTATTACCTGAGAGATCCTTTGGTGAATGACTATTATGAGAGCTTTGCAGATTCTTCATGTCACTGATAATAATATCCTCTATGTAATGTTTTATTTTGTGCAGCTGTTGTCAACTGACTGGTAGAGAACTCAGACTTCATAAAAGAAGTGCCACCACTTGAAGCTGCATCACTGCATGATGTTGTCTAGGAATTTTGGTAATTGGCAAAGACTGAGGAAGGTCAGCAAAGATAGCTTGGTGGATCTGTAGGTGTCTCATAGTTCTACAGGGCTGTAGGATACCTTGCTACATTTACTGTCTTGCTTTGCTTTAAGTTTGCCAGCACTAACCAGGCACCCGTTACATTTTATGGATTCATCAGGCACTTGCAGACTCTTGCAAACTGCATAATGGCTTTTTGATTGTCTTAACTGGTCACTTCCTGTTCCTCTATAGCTTCATAACACCAACAAACTGAGAGATTTCAAGTCCCTCTAAGGAATTGTAATTCTATTACTAAAAAAAACACCATGAACTTATAAGAAATTGTATTTCTCAGATTTTAAAATGGCAAATATACTGCATTGAAGGTATATTTTTTCCTGAAAAAGCTGACATGAGCTTGTCCACTCAGCGCAGAAACTTTGTACCAAGGGTTTCTGAAGTGGGCCATGATTAGAGACAAGCAGTTTCTTTAAAATGGAAACACTTCATCAGCTGGAATAACTTTGCCTTCAACATAATGGTAAGCACTGTAATCTTTTGGCACATTGTAATTATATGCTTTTCTCAGTCTTTGCTT